AACTGGAGGTGATCCCTCATTTTGACCATATAATACCACCCAAGAAAGTTTGTTATATTAGAAAGATTTTTAGATACAAACCAAACGGCTGCAGTACAACGAGGTTCATCCGCCTTCATCTGGTGAGATCGAGCAACGAATCTCTTCTTCATGCACTTTAATTCGAAACGAAGGTCCCCATAACAATGTTATCTTAGAAGATTCATCGAAACCAAGTTTCTCTTCGCATCTACAAAGTCTAAGCACATTCCCACTAGTTTTATAGATCGTTGGAAATTCGTGAACGATAGCATATTCATTGTCAACATGAGTAGTTTGCGAGAATGTTAATCAATTTTCACACCGGGCTACACCAAAAGCTTTCTCGGAAAATACATTTCTGCAATGTCCCAGTAAGACCAACCCGCAGTCTGGGTAAGAGGACTCGCCCATTGTCTTCTGTCGGGATCGGCGCACACTTTCAGCGGAAGGGGCAATTAGTTCAACAGTGGAAGGGGATTAAATTGTCACTTGTGCAGCACTCAGCGATACTACTCGTGCTTGGTGTGAGTAGGCATATCGAGAGTATCCACAAGGCATAGCCGCCATTCTGAATGATAATGTTGCCTTTCTACCCAATCAGGTCTGGTTTCAAAATCGACGCGCCAAATACCGCAAATATGAGCGTCTCCGTCAGTATGGCCTGGCCGGCTCCACCGGCCCCGGCGACCTCACTCCCACCGGCCTCTTCGCCTCGGCCTGCCTTCTGCCTGCCGGCCCGGCCGACTCGCCCCCGCAGGAGCCATCCTCAACCTCCTCCTCCTCCTCTTCCTCCTCTTCCTCCTCCTCTTCATCATCATCATCATCATCAGCAGCAGCAGCGGCGGCGGCAACAGCAGCCCGCGGCCTCGTGTTCGCAGTGCCCGCCATGAGCCCCTGCGCCACCAGCGGCCCGCCGCCGCCGCCGCCGCCGCCGCCGTCGCTGCTGCCTTGTCCGGCCGGGCCCGTCGGCTCAGGCGGCCTGTGCGCCGGTCCACTCGGCACCGCCTCCGCCTCTGGCGTGGCGGGCGGGTCGATGTCTGCCTGCGCTCTCGGCCAGCAGCACTTTGGACTCGGCTTCCCGACCGGCCTCTCCTTTCTCACTTCGCCTCCGCCCACGCATCATCCGCCCTCGGCACACCTGCCCGACATGCACTACCCATCGCTCTCCTTTCCGGCCCCGCGAATGCCCTACGCCTGCCAGCCGGTCTCGCTGGGGCTGCCGTTGGGGCTGCCGCTGGGCCTGCCGCTGCCGCTGCCGCTGCCGATGGCGGCCGGCGTCCAGTCCTTCACGGACTCTTGGCTCCCGATGCCGCCGGGCGGCGGCCATTCACTGCGGCGCTCGCTGGACGAGGCCGCCTCAGCGTCCATGCTGACCGGGCCACTGGCCAATCAGCTGCCCGGTCCGTTGGCCAATCAGATGGCCGTCTGCTCGGTCGATGCCGATTGGCCGCTGCGCGCACTCGCGGCGGCCGCGGCCGCCGCAGCCGCCGCCGGCTCCGTCTGGCCAGAGGGCCGAGAGGCGCTCGGCGAACCGGTCGGGTCGCCGAGGCTTCGAGACGCCATCTTGCCCGGCGAGAGCGGTCCAGTGCCGTCCGACGGCTGCTTCGTCTCTGTCGGCCCGACTCCCGACTCTGACAGCCCGCCCCCGCAGGCCAGACCGCCTCTGCCGCCTCCCGGTGCCTCGGCCGATTGGGCCAATCTTCTCGCGTCCCTCGCCTCCGCCGCCTCGGCTGCCTCTGTCGGACGCACCGACGCCTGCGACATCGACACTAACGCCAACGTCAACGCCAACGCCAACGCCAGCGTCGAGGCTGATACCGACGGTGACTCCAACGTCGACGCCGGAGACGCCGACGACGGCCGACCGACGTGGGCCTCCAGAACCATCGACGACGCCGGCAGTCCTCGGCATGCACTTGTCCATCGTCATCATTATCA